ATCATGATACATTTCTACCCTGGATATAAGTAAGGAAATAAGGTTCATTCTGCATTTGGAATAATGCACCAAATTCTTAAAATTAAACATTATCTACAGAATTACATCGAAGTGTTTCTTATGATGGCGATTGTAATCACTGTCAGATATCATCTGTACTTTTGTTAACTTAGTACGACCTCTTTGCTACCATTTTTATAACTAGACATTTTCCGGCCTTACTCTTTCTTCTGCTTAAGTATAAACATGTCAATAACTTCCGAAATATTAGTTTAAATGATGTTAACGACCAGTTATTTTCTTAATTATATCATTATCTAATAAACAAGATAGATAATTATGAGAATTGCTATTTTAAAATTTAATTTTAAATATCTATTAGGTATAAGAAATGGACATAAAAAATACTTCATGTGTATTTTATATTTTAATATTATTTATCAATCATACATGATAGATAAATTGAGAGACACATTGAAATAAAAGAAATCAATAAAAAAGTTATTAATATTATTTTTTTGATTAATTAAGTGGTTTATGATAAGCGAAACAACGTGTTTATGAAAACAATTCCTGAAGCTAAACAAAAAAACTTTTTTCTAGTGTAAAAAATCACCGTTTATTATTTTATTATTTTTACATAAAACGTTCATTATTTTTTGTAAAATATATTTTCCATGAATGCTGATTTTAAGTGACATAATTTTAATTATTATACTCTCAAATTTTAGGTTTTAATTGATAAAGTTCCAGTTCAGGCGATAACTGAATTAGTACTATAATATATGTTGCCAATGACATAAACATCTGAAAATGTTGTAAGATTTACATCAACTACTGACAAGTTTTAGTTTAATAGAACCTTGATTATTTGTTTCCTAAAGAAATGATAATAGTTATCTATAATTTATATGGCTTTGGCAAAAAAAAAACCTCAACTTTTATAAAAATTTTACTTAATAGTATAACATAAAATTTAGAAGCCTATAGCGCTAATATCCTTTATATCGTTCTATATATAACAACGTTTTTTTTTTGTGGCGTATAAAAAAAGTTGACAAATCAGTGCTATATAATCAAGTTTCTACTTCCCTCTTGTCAATCATGAATACACATAGTCTATAATTTTATTTTTTACTTACTGATGATATAAGTGTTTTGTTTACAACAAAAAGTCCTAAAGGCGTAATATCTGTACTTGAGTTTTGTACTTGAGTCATAAATAAATCAATCTATTTCAGACACAACAAAATCAGAAAAAAAAATAATTGTATGATATGCTGTAGTAATTACTTAAATTAATTAAAACTGTAAAATTCTTTGATAAAACTCTATTCATGATTTTCTATTTTGATTGTTTACTTAAAATTTTTTAATTTTTTTGGCCGACTCCAAGTAGTTGAGATTAAGGCGAGGAAAAAGAAGAAGACTTACAATTTTTTGAATTGGGATTTGTACTTTGGTTTTGCTTAAATTTTTAGTTTGTAAAACTTCTATATTACATATATTTTTGGTGAACATTTAAAATTTGTTATTTAGCTTATAGAAACATATATTTTTGTTTCATATATTTAATTACCTGTTCGAAACAACCCTTAGGTGATTTCCACAATTGTATATTCCTTAAATCACTAATTATAGATTTACTCTGAAATAAAAACATATTTGTATAATAAATATACTTAACGTTTAATGCGTTTAAGTAGTTACAGCATAAAATATAAATCTAGATACTCATGTTTTCTTTGTAATATTCTTTTAAAATTAAAGGTCTTAAAAA